GAGAGAGAGAGAGAGAGAGAGAGAGAGAGAGAGAGAGGACTTTTCTGCTGTGAGATCGCCAGCTGGGTCGAGGTCCCGGTCCCGGTCTGCTGGAAACAAAAGGGTGCGAGCCTCGATTTCTTATGTCGGAGCAGGGGTAGAGGTCCCAGCCGCCTGGTTTCTTCCTTTCTGACCGTTGATCTTCCTTATCTATGATCAGAAGCGAAATACCCATGCAGGTCTGCAGAGTACGATATCAGATTTCGATGATGATTGACGATGATTGACGATGATGATGATGATGATGATGATGATGATGAAGGTGATGAAGATGATGATAGATTGTGATGATGATGATGATGAGAATGGGAATGGATATGATGATGATGGCGATGGTTTAAATGATGACATGATGATGGTGATGGTGATGGTGATGATGGCCAATCAATCGACGATCATTATGGACCGATGTTATGGAAAACTGATAATGATTGGTTTCGACATGTGTGTGCAGGAAATGGAACAATCAACGGTCAAGGTGATTGGATTTGGAAGCTGGTCGCTGCGAACGAGTTTAATTACACTCCCGGTTGTATGATTGAGTTCATGTGGTCCCAGCGAATCATCATCTCGGGATTGACACTTGTCAATTCAACCTTCTGGAATATTCATCCAATTTACTGCGAGCGAGTATTCATCCACGGGCTGAAGATCTCAGCCCCGGACGAATCTGAGAACACGGATGGAGTGGATATCAGTAAGTAGATGGTGTTCTTTTCTTTCTTCTTGCTTATACAGTATATAATCCTGTTGGCTGTGTGCAAGTGGGTCGATATGACATACGGGGGGTGGGGGCAGCCGCCGCTTAACCTACATCCACGTGGGCGGCCGTGTACGCAAGGGGTTCTGAACAGGGCCAGCCGCCGCTCAACCACTTCTTTTCTTGCAGCTATGCATACTATGCGAAGCATGCAAGTTGATGCAACTATGCATAGGTGCATTGCATTTTTCGGCCATGATCCGATCTCAAGAATCGAACACGCGATCTCCCTCATGGGAGTTGCACGCTTAACCAAACGGCTATAAGCTGACGGGGGGGGGTGAAAGTTAAGCCCCAACCCCAGCACGGATTTCCCGCGTCCGCCTCCCGGTGTATAAAATAGATAGTTGCAAATTGAATCCATACTTCATACATTTACTATATATACGAGTTCCATATTCCATATAGTATAGTTGCAGTCATGCAACTAGGCTATGCTTCATGGACAATTGCAACCTATACCTCGTAGATTTACTTCATGTATGATTTTGATACATTAGCGATCGGTTACGTCGCACATCTCTCTCTCTCTCTCTCTCTCTCTCTCTCTCTCTCTCTCTCTCTCTCTCTCTCTCTCTGTGTGTGTGTGTGTGTTCATGTATGATTTTGATACGTTAGCGATCGGTTACGTAGCACATCTCTCTCTCTCTCTCTCTCTCTCTCTCTCTCTCTCTCTCTCT